ACCCCTTGAATAGTTTGCTTCCTTCTAGAATGCTTAAGCATCCAATGAAAAAACTTGGAATTTTCATCCCAGTCCATATCCCACTTAATTTTGGTTTTTTGTGCTAAGTCCATGGCATGGCGGTTTTCGATTTTATCTAGTTGCATCAACAAATTAACTCTTTGATTTCTCTCTTCCTCATTAGCAATCCCCTCATCAATCTTGCTATCCAGTTCATCAATGGAAGATATTAATTTAATTTTATCCACCTGTTCCTTGAGGCGCACCTCATTATTCCAAGCTTTAAGATCCAATTTCAATTTATTTAAGCTCACCTTAAATTTAGAAGTTAAAGAATCAGCATTGTTATCTTGTGATACAGCCCAACTTACCGCTACTACTTCATTAAAACCATCAATACCATCCCAAGAATTGAACACACGAAAAGGAACAGGGCCATAGTCGACTTTGGAGTCGTGTAAAAGAATGGGGTTTGTGGTCAGACCATCTTCGTTCAACAACCAGTGCACCTAACTTAGGAAAGATTAGCATGGTATTTAGAGACCAAGAATCTATCCAATTTTGACATTTTGGTACCCATCTTGTTCATCCAAGTAAATTGTCTAGAACCTAACTGTATTTCTACCAAACCAGTATCATCAATGAATCCGTTAAAAGTAGCTTCCCTTTGAGGGTGAAACATTGTCCCAAATCTATCTTCTTCCTTCCCCAACTCGTTGAAATCATCAAAGAGACAAAACATATCATCATGAGAAACTATAAAATCCAAAATATTATTCCATAGAAAATCCTTTTCGTTTCCATTTTGTGGTGCATATATATTCATCATGAAAACATCTATATCAGTAATAACCCATCAACCCTTGACAATAAGATAACGATCCTGAGAAATAATGTTCTCATGCTTAAAATTCCCCACACAGATCTAATTTTAAAAAGATGTGGAGTAGTCATTGCCGTCTCCTGGATACCAAGAAAATTAACACCATGTTTAAATCACAAGCTTTTTATCCACCGCCTTTTCTTCGCCTTTCCAATATCTCTCGTGTTTAACATTCATTAATGACCATTCTTATCACCCATTCTCTCCATAAAACTGTTCAAAGTATCAACACAACCCTCCATATTATACCCCATGCCACCACCATCAATTATAACTTTTTCCAAAGTAGACATAATAACTCGTTTTTTGTTTACTCTTGTTGTCTCTCTTTTCCTTGATCTAGAAAACATTATATAACATCTAGTAATTAGCCCATTTTCATTACTTGCAGCAAAATCCTCCATCTCCAGTCCTTGATGTTGTACATCTTCCACAATATTAGAATTATCATTTACCTCCGCCCTCATCATCTTTGTCTTCTATAATTGTAGTTCCCACCTCTATTTCTGTTCCATATAAGTTTCAAACACCACTTCTTCTTCCTGTTCAGATTACTCCTCTTCATTCACTCCATCTAAATCGTGAGTGTAAGATTTTTCATCATCTGATATGCTGGACATATGTTGAATTTATACAACCTCAATGTGTTTATGCATGGATGTATGTATGTATGTATGTATGTATGTATGTATGTATGTATGTATGTATGTGTATGTATGTATATATGTGTATATGAATCTATGTGTGTGTGTGTGAATGTGCGTCTAAGAATGTATGTGTGAATGTATGTTTTTATAGGTATATATGAATGTATGTGTAAATGTGTATGTGTAGGTGTATGTATGTATATGTACATATGTGAATGTGAACGTAATTTTAAAGTGTGAAAGGAGTAACGGATAAAAATGAGTACGCCACTATAAACATCTAGGTATCATGTATAACTCAGTGATAGTATAGATAATCATGTATAATAGAGGTGCGAAAAAAACGAAGCAAAAAAAAAGAAGTCTGGTGCCCGAAATCTCGAAAAAAAAAAGTCTGTAGGTAATCCTTCGGAAATTACCGACGGAATAGCGACGGATATCCTCTTCCGTAGGTAATCCGTAGGTAATTACCTACGGAATACCTACGGAACAGGCCATCCGTCGCTATTCCGTCGGTAATTTCCGAAGGATTACCTTCGAATATTTTTTATTTTTGACATTTGGGGCACCGGACGTCATTTTTTTCGCTTCTTTTTTTTCGCACTTCTATTATACATAATTATCAATACTATTACCAAGTTATACCTAATATATATGTGTATCACCATGTGCACCTATAGATCCGTTACTCCTTTCACACAGTTACTTCTTTCACATACATTCACACATACACACATATGTACATATGCATAAGTACACATACACAATTACAAAAACATTCACATATACCCATAGACACATACATTCATAGAGTTTGGTCAATGTGTTTATGTATGTATGTATGTATGTATCTATGAATGTTTGTGTATGTATGTATATATATATATGAATCTATGTGTGTGTGTGTGAATGTGCGTCTAAGAATGTGTGTGTGAATGTATGTTTTTATAGGTATATATGAATGTATGTGTAAATGTGTATGTGTAGGTGTATGTATGTATATGTACATATGTGAATGTGAATGTAATTTTAAAGTGTGAAAGGAGTAACGGATAAAAATGAATACGCCACTATAAACATCTAGGTATCATGTATAACTCGGTGATAGTATAGATAATCATGTATAATAGAGGTGCGAAAAAAACGAAGCGAAAAAAACGAAGTCCGGTGCCCGAAATCTCGAAAAAAAAAGTCCGTAGGTAATCCGTCGGAAAGTACCGACAGAATAGTGACGAATATCCTCTTCCGTAGGTAATCCGTAGGTAATTACCTACGGAACAGGCCATCCGTCGCTATTCCGTCGGTAATTTCCGAAGGATTACCTTCGAATATTTTTTATTTTTGACATTTCGGGCACCGAACGTCGTTTTTTTCGCTTTTTTTTCGCACTTCTATTATACATAATTATCAATACCATTACGAAGTTATACCTAATATATATGTGTGTATAACAATGTGCACCTATAGATCCGTTACTCCTTTCACACAGTTATTTCTTTCACATACATTCACACATACACACATATGTACATATGCATACATACACATACACAATTACAAAAACATTCACATATACCCATGGACACATACATTCATACAGGTTGGTCAATGTGTTTATGTATGGATATATGTATGTATGTATGTATGTATGTATCTATGAATGTATGTGTATGTATGTATATATGTGTATATGAATCTATATGTGTGTGAATGTGCGTCTAAGATTGTATGTGTGAATGTATGTTTTTATGGGTATATATGAATGTATGTGTAAATGTGTATGTGTAGGGGTATGTATGTATATGTACATATGTGAATGTGAATGTAATTTTAAAGTGTGAAAGAAGTAACGGATAAAAATGAGTACGCCAAAAAAACTCGGTGGCGTACTCATTTTTATCCGTTACTCTTTTCACACTTTAAAAGTACATTCACATTCACATATGTACATATACATACATACACCTACACATACACATTTACACATACATTCACACATACATTCATAGACATACATTCATACATACATCCACACATACATTCATAGACACACATTCACACATACATTCATAGAGACACATTCACACATACACATACATTCATATACACACATATACATACATACGCATACATTCATACATAATAATAATAATAATAATAATAATAATAATAATGGAAATAATAATAATAATAATAATAATAATAATAATAATAATAATAATTGAAATAATAATAATAATAATAATAGTAATAATAATAATAATAATAATAGTAGTAAAAAATTAATAAATGACGGATTTGTGACGGAAAGTATACAAATTAGTCTTTTTGTCAGTGCCGTAGCTATTCCGTCGGCATTTACCGACGGATGTGACATCCGTCGGTATTCTGTAGCTGTTCCGTTACAATATCGTGAGTAATTTAGGGCAACGTTTTCCATTGGAATTCCGTAGGTAATTTCCGACTAAATTTTTCCGTAGGTATTTTCATTTTTTCTAGTCGTGTAATTTAACCAAATCAAACCTAATTTCCCAACCTTAATTCTATTACATATTTAAATTATTAATTTCACTAGTTGTGACACATATATATTACATGGGCTAAATTTTTTTTTAAAAAAAAAAGATAAATATAAATGTCAAAATATTTAAAAACTTTGAATTTATAAGAAAATAAGAAAAATAATGAATTATTATAATGAAAATGTTTTTTTTATCTTTTAAATTTAAACAAATAATGTAAATAAATAAAAGAGCTAATGAATTTTTGAAATTAAAAGGTAAGTTAATTAATGAAATTGATATACATTTATTACTGCATTTATTGCAATTATTACATTAAAATATTATATGAAATTTAATATAAAATTAAAACTTATAAAAGGACATATGGAAAAATAATAATTTAAAATGATATTTGACAAATTGAATGAGAGTGTGACAAGTGGTAAAAAACCTTCATTAATATAAGAACGAAGCCACTAGCTAGGTCAAACTGCAAAGAAATTAAATAGTTTGCATGGTGGAAAAAAGTTGAAACAATCATGTTTATTGACAACAAAGAAACTGGTTCTTCAAATGGCAATTAACATGTTTATCGGGAAGAATATCTATGGCAGGTCACGATTTGGCTCAAGGAGCAAACATTGCTAAAGTAACAAAGAATGACTCTTCCATTTACGGGAAGAGGCCTGCAACTGATGGTGATATCGTGTATATGCATAATTGAAAAATCGAGAGACATTTATGGTGTCGGTGTCAATGGATAGCCATTTTCTTCCTCTCCCGAGAAGCGTTCCATGTTAACTCAAGATTCTAGGTTCCTAGAGCTAGAAGTATATGGTCCACCAAGATGGTTCTTCAGGACTAGCATGTTTGTGCAATTTATTGGTTTCACACTCAAAGCATGGCTTCAAAATGCAGTGAGGAAACCAATAAGTGTATCATCAAGTTGTCAAATCTCAAGGAGACTGTTCAGAATCAGAAAAATCATATTTATCGGAAACAATACAAAACCGACCAAAAAGAATCCTTACATGGCATGTCACACGAATCACATGCCAAATTTTACACATAAGAATCACAGGGAAATAAGCAAAATCGTAAATCAAAACATATTCTTTCCGGATATGGTAGTTAATAATTTAGAACACCATAGCATATGCGGCAACAAGTAGTGTAAATATAATAGGAAATGTTGCGAATTTTGTTGAAGATGCATCTGATGAACCATTATCTGTTGATGGCACAGTGTTTGTTTCGCTGCCTTTACCCGAAGGGTTTCCCGAAGGTGTTGTTTCTGAAGGTGTGGTTCCTGAAGAAGGTGTGGTTTCTGAAGGGGAGTTGCTTGGAGATGCAGCTGTCCAGTGAAAAATGATAAGTAGATAAATTTGACATTTCTAATTTGTGAACTTATATATGAAAAAAATTATAAATCATAGTCGATTTTTCTTCACTGGGAGGTAGATTCTTTTTGCATCATCTCCCATTGAATTGTATCAATGATATAATGTATCGGTCATTAGATAAAGCATTTGTATCAGAATAACGTATTACCGAAACTTTAGGTTTTATAGTATATAATATTCTAAAAGTAACATGAATAAGAAGCTTTCTAAGTAAAAATTCAGTTCCTTACCATTGCATCGACTGGTTGGTGGTGTCTGGACATTGCATGCACTAGGTAATGCAAGAGCCTGAGTTTGGTTTATGCTAAGACCCAAAGATGAGCCACCACCATTAAGGACTTGACACAAGCACTGTGGCTGTGACTGGACTACACTCGCGAGTTGGCTGCAACATCCTGATGATGGGGTTGATGTGTTGCCAGAAATGTAGTTGAGGCATGGGGACAAGCTAATTAGCACACTTGTGCACCCTGACGATTGTGCTGTTGCACCTCCGTAGAGGGTGGCCACTGTGATCACTAGGATCATTGTTGTCGATGCAATTGTGTTGGTACTTTGATATTGTGCCATTTTGGGTTTAATTTTCTGGGATTTTGGTGTAGTTTTAAATTGGAATGGGATTTGGATGCGGAATAAAAGATAGGCGCTTGAAGTTCTTGTTGGGAGTTTGGAGATCTTATGAATCAATATATAGGGGAAATTGGTATGGTCCGAGTCTACTCATGGCAGGTGTTGTGCATGGGTGACCTACTTTTCCTACTTTATAACATTAACCACCTAGATATGTAATGTTAATATTCAAAGTAAAGGGGATTTTGAAGACTGAGAGATAAGAGACCAAATCCAAAACAAAATGATACAGAATTATATTTGTAATTTACTATAGATTATTTATGATATGAATAAGAGTTGGGTTTTTTATGATTATTATTATAAGGTAGGACGACAAGAGTTTTGATTAGTTTTCTAGGTGAGCTGCTCAAAGCATCCGATTGGTTTTTGGTAAATAACAACCTAACTATATAAACAAATACCACTTCTTGATTTCTTTATTGCTTAGATACACACGCAATTGAGGAAAAAAGAAGCTAATATTCTAAGAAAGACTTTATAACTTTTAAATATGTTATTAAATTAAGAAGTTGTTAAATGAAAATCAAACAAAAATAACCTCAGTCTTTTTGGTTTATACTTATTTTAAAATTAAAACATTAAATCTAAACTTTAACTGTAAAGATACAAAGCTTTAAGAGGATTGTTAATGTCAACCAGCCGAAGAGCGTGATGACAAAGAAGGCTGTGGGTTTTGTCTAGACCATTCAAAGAAGTGAAATGACTCACATCGGCATTTGCACGTAACATACCAATGTATACGTAACTAACACTTTTTTAAAAGTGGACTGTACCGCGGCATCAATATTTAAGTGTTTGTTTTCTTAAGAGATATAAGTTTTGGTATCCGCAAACCACATTTGCAGCAAAAAAATTTTTTTAGTTTTTTAACTATACAGATTAAAATAAACAATATTATAAATGAAATTGTTATAATTACATCTTTATTCTTTTACGTATCAACCACCAATAAATTATATATAACCCATCATAATTAGTCCACTAATCAAAACAAACACTACAGAAATCATGTCATTGCCGACGACACGTTTAGCGGCAACAAAGACTTTTAGCGGTGACTCAAGCTTGAGTCGCCGCTAAAAGTTTTTAGGGTCGCCGGTAATGCTTTGGGGACCGAATCCGCGTGAACCCTTTCGAGTAAACCCCAACCATCCGTTCGAGTATCTAATCCAATGGATGCGACCTCCTTTTCGTACAAACGCAATAACGGCGACAAAAAGTCGCTGCTAAAGATAGAAAAAAAGATGCGGCATAAGTTCCCTCCATAGTTGTCCCTGCTATTTGTTATTGTTGTCGATATTGGTTTCGAGTCGCCGCTAAAGGTCGATGAAACTATACCCTTTTTCCGTCTCAGTTTTCTGTTGTTGCCTCCTTCTTTGATCTTACTTTCCTCGAGCTCGACGACACCGACGATCAACGAACGACCGTTTCTTTCTTCCTTTGCCTTCAACCACCAGCCGACCACCTCAATCACGAGTTACCACCGGATTTCGGCGACGATTTGGCTGTTACCAGCGACATTTGGAGCTTCATCAACCTTCATCATTTATCTATCTCTTTCTCTTATAACCTCCATTTCCAACTTATATTCGAGATTAACAGTAGAAAAATGTTGATTTTCAGTTTTTTCCCGACTGTTGTTGTCACTGTAGCACAACAAAGTTACGTATAATGGTTTAATGGTCCCTCATGACTATTTTTTTGCATTTTAAGGGCATATACTTGTGTTTTACCGATTGGAAAAGTCATCTTACCCATTTTAGCAGGTTAACCAGCCTCGTTACTTGCCAAGTAAGCATGTGAGTTAACCCGTTGAGTCAATACTAAGTTGACTCGATGACACATGCAAAGAGTAATTACCGTCTTTAATTTCCACCAACACCTTAACAACCTTACACTCTCGATTCGATTGAGTCCCAGACACACATCTTTAATTAAAAGGGGACACACCCATGTGGGGTTTGAAGTAAAACAACCCTCAAACTTGTTTACCATATTCGGGAAAACAATCATCTGGAAGAACCCTTAAAAAGCAACAATGTCGGCTCCACCATCTTTACCCGACTCTTTAAATTCTGGTGAAGACATCAACTACAATGTGCTCCACTCAATCTTCTGTGATTGTTGTCAGAAGATTTTAGAAAACCAATCTGAAATGCAACAGTCGCAGGAGTAGCTCGGACATGACTATATCGTGTGCAGGATCGACCACATCAGCCTCCAGCACAAGCTTGATGACCATTATCAGAAGTTTAAAGTCGTTGGTGTTGCCATGGGTGACATGATGATGGGGATGCTCTTGTTGTTGGTAGTTATGCTCCATTTCATTCTTAAGCTTGGGTGATGGATGGATTTGAAACAATGGTGGTTCGTGGTTAAGAAGCTTATTAGTATGTAGATTTTCTGTTTTTTATTTTTATATTTGGTTTTTTGGCGAAATATGTAAAAGACCTCTCTAAATGACAGACATTTTGTAAGTGAAATCCAATGATTAATGAAAGATCTGTCTAAATGATAAGCATTTTGTAAGCTTGGGTGATGTTCTTTGTTCATTGCTTATGATCGTATTTACTTGTTAATTTTCATAAAAAAAATTTGTAGAAAGTGCAATGGTAATAGGAAGAAGGAAAAAGTGGGTGTTCTTAGTGACCCCACGTGCCTTGCACAGTGGGGGTAATATAGTGTTTTACACGTACTACCAATTACTTAAAAGTTTCTTATATACCAACTTGTTTCATTCTAGCACATTGTTTTCTTCTTCAAATTATCTCCACCGTGACGCTAAATAATGAAGAACATGGAATGTGGATGTGGATCATAGGCTATAATAAGAACATCACGTACTACCAATAACCCAGGAAGGCCCTTTTATGCATGTCCCAAAAACGTAATTTACCATTTGTTCAATTTATGATGTTAAACATAGTTTTTTTTAACATGTATTAAGTCAAGCAAATAGTTGGAATCAGGATGCTCGTTCAGGTTTTATAGCTTAGGTTGATGAAATGCAGTGCAACAATGAAGGTGTGATCATAACTGGGTTGTTTAGGTCGAACAAAATGCTTCAATATAAGGTCTTTAAGTTGAAGGTTTACCTAATATGTAGTTAGGTATTTTTTGTGTTTAATCATGTACAAATTGTAATAAAGGTCATTTGGGTTTTTTTAAGAATAACTTGTAATGTACTTTATTTTGGTTTGTATGTTTAACTTGTAATGTACTTTTTTTTATTTTGTATGAACAACTTGTATGAAGTAATTATGAATAAGAAAATTATTGGACCACATGTTATTTAACTTGTAATGTACTTTGTTTTGTTTTATATGTTGATCCTGATTTTACAAGGACCGCATGTTCCCTTGTAACCTAACCAAGTTAACATTGATTCTTGGAACTATTGACCCAATGTTCCCTTGGGTAACATGCACCATGCACGATCTAGAAAAGAAGTACATATCTTTCATAAACAAACCAAATTTCTCAAACAACATAAGTAGTACAAACAAATAAACAAAGTCAATACAAATCCAAACTTAACAACCTACTACAACCCAATTCCAAACATAACAACTAAGTGGAACCAAACACAACCAATTTAAAACATAACAACTTAAACAAAATCAGATCCTTATCATTAAGCTCCAATGGGTTTGCACTGGTATCTCCTTTCCGACCTTTGCCCTTCACCCTCTTAGAAAGTTTCATCTTGATGATTCTCTCCGATTTCTTTCTTTCTTTTACACTTACCCACTTTTTTGTGTCCATTTTTCATTCATGCACTGTTTTTGATCCACTGCTTCCTGCACCAACACCTTGTGCTCCCTGACCATTTTCATTGACACCTCCTGCTCCTTTACCATTTTCATTGACACATGTTTTCTCTTTTTTACATTTAGTTTTGGCCTCCTACCAACTTGAGCTTTTTGCACTTGAAGTCTTTCAGCTTGAGGACATGTGACATTGTTATGCCGCACTTTTTTACACAAACTACATGATATTTTATTCCGTGCCTTAGTCACAGTGTGCCTTGGGAGCTTTTCTGATGCATCTCTTCTTCTGTTAAGCTTTGGTCTACTTGGCATTCTTCTCTTCATTGGTGGAAGAGTTGGTATGAAGTCAGTAGGTGGGCACATATTTCTACCATTCATCCCCTAAATTAGATACTTATAAGTGTTCTTGTAGACTGCTCCATAGAACATTGTATCCACATAACCACCAACATCTCTATTAAGAAAGGATATAGTTGCAACTGAATGCACACATCCATACCCACTATGTTGCCACACTCTATAAGTACAAGTCTTCTTGTCCAAGTCAATAACATAGGACTCATCAATGTTTCTTGTTTCAAATTGGTTTAGACCACTTAGTAAAATCTACCAATACCTATTGAAGACATAACATAAGTAACTACATACAGTTATGAGTGTAAAGATTAGAAAGTACCTTTGAGCTCTTTTTAATTGATTCAGTAGGAGTGTAATTGTTGGGCAAGGCTTGTAATCAAGCCGTGAACTACCTTTCATCTTTAAATTGTATATTCTCTCCATAACATACAATCTAATCTCCTCTAACATGGTCGTGATTGGCTTTTTCCTTGCATCCATGATGACACTGTTGAAGCTCTCAAATAATCCATTCTCCACTGCATCACACATCCTTCCCTCTTCAAAAAATGCTCTAGTCCAAGATTTCGGGTTTATTTCCATAAGATAAGCAAAGGCTGCATGGTTAAGCACTTCAATCTCCTTCATTGCAACATTGAATAAAGGCTCAGTGGATGCCTTGCTTGCCTTCCAAAACATGGTTTCATAGTGCACACCACTGAATCTTTTCCAAAAGTTGGCAAAAATATGCCTTGCACACTACCTATGTTCAACAGTATGCAGTACTTCCTTGACAGCCTCTAACAGCCCCTGTAGAACAATGGTAACATGTTAGATAAAATGAAACCACCAACTACAATATTAAAAATTAGGAAGTACACAACTTACCTTATGCTGATCCGACACTAATGGTAT